TCTTGCGCAAATAAACTGCCTGCACTCGGTTGAGCGTTTTGAATTATCAACATGATCAAAATAAAAAATCCAAAGCAATATTCGAGATTAGAGGTACATGTCAGGTTAATTATTCACAACCTTTCATTCAGCCAAAATCACTGAAATCAACCAATGTATTAGCTGATTTACGATATCCTCTGTCATTATTTATACAGCTTCCAGTTCGGATGAGCAATACGAACGAGATAATGATGACCCAACAGCTCATGCCATTGAAGTGGGTAACATCAGTACTATATTTATAAGTCACTCATAAAATTGCGTATTGTTGTACTAATTTTTTTGTTTTCTTGTTAAATTTCTTTATGGTGAATAAAATGAAGGAGTGTATTGAGTACATTAAGACGATGCTGAGTACAATGGACGGTGGACGATTAAGCGTGTCTCCTTATGACACAGCATGGGTTGCCCTCATTAAAGATTTAGTCGAAAAAGATGTTCCCCGATTTCCATCAAGTCTCGATTGGATTCAACAACATCAACTGCCTGACGGCTCGTGGGGGGACGAACACTTCTTTTGTGCGTATGATCGGCTAATAAACACACTAGCTTGTGTGGTAGCATTGAGATCATGGAATGTTCATGCTGACAAGAGTGAAAAAGGTCTATTGATTCTCTCTCTCTCTCTCTCTCTCTCTCTCTCTCTCTCTCTCTCTCTCTCTCTCTCTCTCTCTCTATCTATATATATATATATATATATATATATATATATATATATATATATACTAAATGGAAAATAAAAATTTATAGTTTTATTGTTTCTCTACGTTTGTCTATTTAGGGATTTAGTGTCCTCTAACTTGAGTGTTACAATTTTACATGCAATGACTTCACAAATATACTATTTTTGTTCATATTGCATGAGTTTTTAATTTTATTTTTAGTTTTATAATTCGACAAAAAAATGTGATGGATTTGTACTTATTTATGACGCTTAAAATTATAAACCAAGTTCGATGGGCATTAATTTGTAGTTTTCTAAGTTTTCACATAAATACATTTTAGCTAGTTTGTTAGGTACATCATTAAGCAACAGGTTATAAAGTTTAAAGTTCGAGTGAAATGGGACAAAAAATTAATAATTTTACATGTAAAACTGAAATATGACAACTTAGAGGACTGAGTTGCTAAGCAGACCAACATACGTCATGAACAAATTAAATTGTAATTTTCCATATACTGATAATTTAGCTTAAATAATATATTTGTTTGCTCATTCTATGAATGAAAATTAGTTTAGTACTGAATACTGATCGATCATAATTTGTTTGTATCTTTTTTCTAGGGATAAGGTACATAAGGGAAAATGTGTGTAAACTTGAAGACGCAAATGCTGACCACATGCCTTGTGGATTTGAAGTTGTTTTTCCCGCACTTCTTCAGAAAGCAAGAAACCTAGGCATTGAGGATCTTCCATATGATGCTCCGATCGTACGAGATGTTTATAATGCACGCGACCGGAAAATAAAAAGGTAATCAGTACATCTAACTATCTAAGTCAACATTAAATATAGTAGTTTTAGTAGCAGCTAGCAAGCGTACTGATTATTAGATATAATCATATAATATATCTCCATAGGCCAACTATTTTAGCCACTGCGAAATCATAAATTAGGGTTTATTGTGTTTTGCACCACATAATTAACGGTGATTGGCGTTTTGCACCCTAATCTGTTAAAATTGACGAAGTCCACCCTTACAATATATATATATATATATATATATATATATATATATATATATATATATATATATATATATAATGGCAATATACCCAACATCAATTTCTTGTGATATTTTAGCCAAACAATCAATATATGGCGGTAATTTACTCTTTGAAGGAATTTTCATTCTACCTTATGCACCCTATGTAACACTTTAGTACTTTGAAAAATATACTTATTGCCTCCTCAATTTATCGATCAACCTGTTGGATCATTAATGGTGTTAGTAGTAAAATAAATTTAATATATTTTTAATAATCTTAAATGAATGACAGCTTTTTAAAAAATCGATAATTCTATGTGGCAGTTTTGTAAATTTATAGAAAGGTTATTATGTCCAATTACAAATATATCCTTGACTTATAATATTAACTAATTTGAATTTTCTCTCTCTCTCTCTATTTTGATTACCATGATTCCAAATTTCAATGTATTAACATTAAATGTCAGATTACAACTTTCAATGAAATGGCATTAATTCATTTCATCATCTTCTTTATTTGATCTGATTCGATGTCTTCTTCTTCCATTATTTTTTCTTAATTTATATTTCAATATAAATATGGCAACACCTTATAATAATAATAATAATAATAATAATAATAATAATAATAATAATAATAATAATAATAATAGTAATAAACTGAAAGTTAAAATAAAATAAGATGTTTATTTAAAAAAAAAATTATAACTCATTTCAAATTTGAATCGCTTAACTTCATTTATTGACAAGAACATATTTATATTACTATAGGACAATTATTGATAAAGCAAGTTAATATACAAAATTATTAATTATTTTGCTATAGGACAATTATTGACAAGAATATATTTATAAACAAAATATCATACATGATGTTTATTTTAACAAGAATATATTATAACTCATTCCAATTAATTTTCCTGCATTAAAAGGCTACAGATTATGAGTAGAATCAAAATTTTATGTTGTGATTTTCCTTTAATACTTGGTTTAATGGTATTTTAAAGGGATATATTATTGACGAGAACATATTAATCGAATTGACTATTTATAATTAAAGTATAGTATTTTTTTAATTCAATTTTATCATAAAAATAATAAAATATAATTCGTTAAAATCGTAAGAAGAAATTTGTTAATCCTAAGATTTGAATCAGTTAAAATCAAGTTTTTCCAATTCGTAAGCTTTATTCAAAGATTTGAATTGAATATGCTCAACTATTGACAATGGTGTATTAATCAAATTAACTATTTATAATTTAAGTAATATATATTTTAATTGAATTTTATTATAAAAAAATAATAAATTTATTTTGTAAAAATCATAAGAATCAATTCGTAAATTCTAAAATTTAATCAATTTTTTTACATTTACATTTTCTTCAAATATTTAAATAGAATTTTAAGATTTAAATCAATTAAGCTCAAGTCCTTTTAATGTCTTTTTTTTTTTATTATTATATTACATTTTTCAATAATTTAACTAACATTGTTTTGATAATAATGAATATGCTAATTAATATTTTTTTTTCTAATTAAAAAAATTAGTAATCTATTTAACATTATTTATGCTAATTATTTTACACTCTTAGTTTACGATATATAGAGGTCTTGCTAGTTATTGCATAATTATATTGTTATGTCACAGTGGTTAGGGTTGCTTTTCTATTTTCGAGCAACCTGGGTTCGATCCTCAGACATCGCATTTTTTGATTAAAATTAAAAATCCGCCATGCATCCTGCTCGAACCCGTCATGACCGGCCCCGGACCGGATCTGCCTCCCGCGGGTTGGGTTTCGGGGGCCACAAAACTCGGGTCAACCATTAAATTTGGAACCAACACCCCAATAAGGGTATAAATGGTATAAAGTTTAAACAAAAATAAAAAAATAATTAAAAATTAAATTCTGGCCAGCCAGATTCTGGCCATTTAGCATTGTCCTTAAAAAATATGCATATTAGAAATTAATATTTATTACATCAAAGTGTGTGCATATAATCGTAAATGAAAAGTCAAGTTAAATAAAATTTGATGTACAAATAATATCATCAAAAATATTAGTGTATAAATACTTATTAAATGTATTTATCCAATATACTTAATGTTATCTTATTATATGTTACCTTAAATATTTCTTAAATGTATTTATCCATAGTACAATTTTTTTTAGTAATAACAGGGTGATTTTTTTAATAAGTATACTAAAAAAATACATTAAATTTGACGATTAATTTATAAATTTATTTTATTACTAACATAACAGCATTAGTAAATAAAATATGTAGACCATTAAATTCAGATCGATGAGTTTATTTTTCAAAGTACGAGAGAGTATGTTTAACATATAAGGGGATAAAATGTATTTTACTCTAATTTCTTATATTGTCACAAAGTTAGTTATATGTATATAAATAGTGGATATATGCAAGGATTTTCAATGCATCTATTGACAGAATACCAATGGAGGAACTGCACAACAAGGAAACAACTTTACTGTACAGCTTAGAAGGATTGGAGAACTTAGAGTGGGAAAAGCTTCTTAAACTGCAAGCAACTGATGGCTCGTTCCTCTCTTCACCATCGTCAACCGCGTTTGCTTTCATGCAGACCAAAGACGAGAATTGCTTGAAATTTATCGAGAATACTGTACAGAAATTTGATGGAGGAGGTGCATTAAATTAATTACATTTTAATACTAAGATCATTGTCATATATAAAATTCTTTGAATTTTAGTTATTTGAATTTATGTGCAGCACCCCATAGTTTTCCGATGGACCTTCTCACAAGACTTTGGGCAGTCGACAGACTACAACGCCTAGGAATTTCACGCTTCTTCGATTCAGAGATTTCTGATATCTTAAGTTACATCTACAGGTAAAAATTTAAAATAATGTTTGTATATGTTGCAATATATAATGAAGAAATCAATCTAAAAATTTTCACTGAATAAATATGCTCATTTGGGATCTATTATATTTTAGGGGTCTTAAGATATATGTTCCTATTGACAAAACTAATTAGAACTAAATAACAAGTAAAACTAAACTTTTGCTTCATATCATTTATTAAATTCATTCCAAAAATATCATTCCACTCACAAATTCGAAATTTGCATTAAATAAATATCAAACTGCATTTATTATTTTTTTTTATTATGCATTTAATATATTATATTTTATCTAACATATTTTAGTTTATTTTTACAAACTTTGTCATCTTTATTTTTTCGTTTTTCACTCTAGCATCTTTTACGTTATTATAAACAACCTATTTTTTTTTCCTTATCTTTAACATTTTATTGAAAATTATGATTTTTTTTTTCGTTTTTGTTTATGGTATACTATGGTGTACTATGGCATACTATAGTTATTAATATTAGAAATTATGAATGTTTTTTTAAAGAAAAATCGGTCGTAGTCGTCTATAGACACCTATAGGAACCATAGAAATTCGTAGTCATATACTCTTAAGATCCTAGCTCACATTTTGAACCCTAGTCGCTACTCATTCGTAGACACTCATAGTAATCAGTAGACACCCGTATTCATAGACGCTCATATAAAAACGAAACCCTAGATCTGCAATCACATTCCCCATAGCCGCCGCACGCAAAAGCCATCGTCATACATATTCCATAACCACCCCAACCATAACCGTGACCTCAATCACAACCACTCTAACCGCCTCTATACCGGTCGACTCCATAGCCGCCGCCAGGCCCGCCATCCTTGATAGCCGCCTTCATACCCTACGTCGCCATAGCCGCCGCCAGGTCCACCACTAGTCACAATCGTTTCTATAACCAAGCTCCACGTCCAAAGATCCATCTCAAAAGAGAGGGAAAGGGTGAAGATGAGAAAAAAAAAAAAAAAACCCTAATTTTTTACTAGTTATACTAAGGGTATTTTCGAGTTAAATAAAAATCAAAGAATGTGGGACAAATTTTATTTAAAATTAAGGATTTAGTTAAAATGTTCCATTTGAGGTTCTCACTCATATCTAATTAAGTTTGATTTGAGGGGTGTCAAGCATATTACCCCTATATTTTAATTTATTATATTTGAATTAAAGTTTAGCTTTTATTAATTTATTTTGTGATATTCTTTTAGAAAATCCCTAGAATATTTCGGGGCACCGCCCTTGAACACCCATATGTTTGAACTCACCCTGTTATCATTTTATGACTCTAGAACTGTCTAATCACAACTAAAAAATCGAACAGTACTCTTGACAAAAATTTTGTTCATAAGATTTATAACTAATTACTTTTGACGACACAGACATTGGAATGCTGACAAGGGAATTTTCAGCAGAAGTGATCAGGAAATTGTTGATATTGACGACACAGCCATGGGTTTCAGGCTTCTAAGACTGCATGGATATGACATTGATCCAAGTATACTATATTTGGAAAATATAAATATGCTTCATCCTTCTTTGTTTTTCTAATGACTTGAAATAATATATTATAGGGTAAATTATACCTACATCGCTGAGGTATGGTGAAATAACTTTAAGATCCCTATGATATCACTAATCACAATCGCCCCTGAAACACTGTTAGAACTTCTAACGGGATAATACATTTAAGTTATTCCGTCAGAGTTCTAACCGAATAACTTATTCATTGCCCTATCGCTTTAGAGTTTCTAACTATGTTTCAGGACGTAATTGTAATTACCGATACCACATGGATCTCAAAATTATTTTAGCATACATTAGGAGTCTATCTGTAATTTACCCTATATTATATTACTGAATGTATATTCGATTTTTGGCAGAGGTATTTATGAACTTCAAGAATGATGATGAAAAAAAATTCTTTTGCTGGGGTGGGGAAATGATCGAGTCCCCGACTCCAATATATAATCTCTACCGGGCGTCTCAAGTCCGTTTTCCAGGAGAAAAAATTCTTGAACAAGCCGAAAACTTTGCCTACGATTTTCTGCAAGACAGGGTAGCTAAAAATCAACTTCTGGATAAATGGTTTATATCCAAACACTTACCTGATGAGGTAATTCATTTATCGATCATATCTATTTTTATTCTCTCACGATATATATACAAAAAAACACCACGGATCGATAATATATATATATATATATATATATATATATATATATATATATATATATATATATATATATATATATATATAGGTGAAGCCATAATTTCATTACTGATGACCAAATATACATTCAAAATTTTAAATAAAAAATAACATAAAGAAATTAATGACAATAATGATTGTTCTACGAATGGCGAAACTTTGATTTTCTATTCTTCTGACGTATTCCGAAGATAGGAAATAAAAGGCAAAGAAAAGCTTCTAGGATTTTCTTTTTTACATTTATTTGGATTTTGAGTAAACTAAATAATAGAAGTTGGTTGGATGAGCATAATATAGTGAATTTTTTTTCAATTGATAGTGGACTTGAGTCGCCCAAGGTGGACTTGTGACTGATTCCAAGTCACAATTTATAAACTAGGTATCATATTTGTTAGACTCACTTATTATTTTTCTTTATTATTTTCAATTAAAAATAATTAATTTTATTGTTTATATAAACTTAAACATATTAAGGCAATAAATTATATATACTTATAATTATATATAGTGTAAAAATAGTTAAAATTTGTGGGGAGTCATGGCTTCTTCACTATGCATATATCTGCTGAGAGGCTATATAAAAAATAAAACAGATAAAGATTGTATTGGAGATGCCATGGTATGCCAGCTTGCCCCGTGTCGTGACAAGATACTATCTACATCAGTATGGAGGTGGTGATGATGTGTGGATTGGCAAGGTTTTGTACAGGTTCGATTTTCACCTAATATATATATCTTTGTTGGATCGATTTAATAATACAGAGTGAAAACACACAGCGAAATAACTTAAAATAGAGAGGAGGAGCAGTGGAGAGGAGATAAAAATATATATTACTCACTCAATCAACACAAATATATAAACTCACTCAAGAACTCTCTTTTGATTCTCTCTAGAATCCTTCTTATTTTTAACTTAATCCAAATGAAAAACTACATATACTATTTAATTATAGGATTTTCCTAGCATGTATCTAAACAAATACATGAACACATAATTAATAATATTCTTCCTCCATAGCATTATACAGGAATCTCCCGAAAAGACACATTCATGTATTTTTCCACATTCATGAATTCTAGAACGTTCAATACTTTGAACTTGATTAATGAATTTAGCTTATTCATTTCCAACCAAAAATATATATATATATATATAGATAGTATGCCAATCTATGGTGTTTTGTGAAACTTATAGGATGCAAGAAATCAACAATGAAGTGTACATGGAGCTTGCACGACTGGATTTCAACAGATGTCAAGCACAACATCAGATTGACTGGCTTTATATGCAAGAGTATGCACATAATATATATATATATATATATATATATATATATATATATATATATATATATATATATATATATATATATATATATATATATATATATATATATATATATATATATATATATATATATATATATATATATATATATATATATATATATATATATATATGAGAAATAGATTTGCACGAAAAGAGAGAATTAATAATACGTAATAGAATAGAAATCCCCCCATTGTGTTATGGCGAAGGCGCGTGGCGTTGGAGTCCGACGACGGTGTTAGAGTATGTGACCTGTTAGAGTAGGTGACCAACAAGCCAACTTGTGGCTGTGGTCTTTCCATTTATTCTTGTAATAAATAATCATTTTCGTATTAATGATAAAAAACTACCTTGGCATTCTATATTTTTGTCCCTTTGTCTCAACCATACATATAGTCCTTACAGTTATTACAAGTACTAGTAATTGATCTTTAGGATCGTGAGATATTTACTTTAGTATTATAATTGTTAAACGTGTTCCTAGTCGAAGGGTTACACAACCAGTGGGGATATCGGTCTTTCCCATTAAGAGACTAGAACTTAGTGTATGTGCACTGCATCTCATCAGTAAACGGTATTGTGCTATCGGCATGCATAAGTGGGTGCTCGTAAGTTGACAAGTTCACTGAACTCCCTCACCCTAGAAATTTCTAAGTAGTTCTCAATAATCGAGTAGAGATATCTATGGTATAGTTGTACACCATTAGTCCTTATGACCTAGACATCCCCGTGACATCACTAGAGGACCAGCTGTATCGTGACCTGTCCCTGAGTTCCACCGAGGACCGCCCCAAGGGCTAGTGTTCGTGCAATCAAAAATCTAGTGGGAGGTCTGTGCATTGTAGTCGGGGATTTGATCGCTAGAATAGTCTTGGATGTCCTGTGTGTTCTCATAGTTTGTAATCTCTAAGTCTCTGGCCAGAGTTGACTAAGTCATGATTAGAGAACTCGATTCTCTAAGTCATGCACGTACCGATTACAACACTTAGAACGATCGCATCGTTATTGAACTACTTAGGAGGTCTCGATGAACCAATGCCTCTAGTTCAATCAGGACATATGAATCGAAGGGATCGTACTGTACGTTAACTATATCAAAATGTTCTTGCAGGCACTTCATTTGTATCTAGGGAATCATGACGCGTAGTTGCTAGACGCCAATCTTGATTCAATGGGTGATTAAGGTGAAACGAGATCTTAATTGTAACTCTAAGGGACGAGTTTAGACCACAAAGGGTTGTGGACCCACGGCTAGCTTACACCTGAACAATCGAGGGTCACATTGCTCGTGCACTCGAGATCTTTGAATAAACGGTCAAAGATAAAAATATTTAATCTTTTCATGATTGGAAGTCAATTTGATTGAGTCTAACATTCATAATTTGGAATTATGAATGAGAATAAGAAAAGGAAAAGAATAGGCGAACATCTTAGTGAACTTTCTAAATTGGGAAGTTTCCAAATTTAGAAAGTCCATTGAATTAGGGTTTCCACTTTTAGAAATTGGAAATCGAGAATTGGCACTCGTAATGACGAGGACATTACAATGATTCCGAAAATGTAATCGTTACAATTTTTTCGATCATTGAGTAAAGAACTAATGAACTTAAGTTGTCGGGCCCGATCCAACTTAAGCCCGTTAGGGATTTTATACAAGACACTATAAATACATGATTTATAGGTCTTGCACAATACACAACACATCACAAAACCCTAGCCGCTCGGATCTCACACCTCACGGCCGAACCACCACCACCATCGCCGGAATCTGCCACGTGCCTCATTCGCTGTTGGTAGTTTTCTTTCCTTTCATCTTTTCTTCCGTATATTCTAACTTTTGCATGTCTAGTGCCATGTATTTAGTAGATCTAAGTATACGAGGTGAAATCCGAGAGGAGGAAGATCAAAGAATCGAACAACCGAGAAGCCGTTGTCGAGCCACCGCCGCACGCGCCGCTTGTAGATAGCGCGTAGACTCCACACGCCGCCGTAGTTGAGCACGTACGCCACCACCGCACCGCCGCTACTCCTCCCGACTGCACGGATTGGTTTCCGTGGCAGTTTGCTTCGATCCGTTAGTTCGCCTCACGCTTCAAGAGGTAATCTTTCGGATCCGTTAGTTAATACGATTTATTTAATGAGATTAAATTATATGCTATATGTTTTTCATGAATTGATATGTATGTTTTACTTGATCGCTTTCATGAAATTATACGCATGTTTATTTTGTTTCGTTGCGAGCATGCTATGTGTTTTAATTATCGAAATATAAGCATGATGTAATTTTAATTTTCGCTGGAAGTGCAAAGGTACGCAATTAATTGTTTAAATATGAATCGAGCATGTGTTTATGTGATTTAAATCGTTTGTTTCACGTAAATTTTTTTGTTTTCCGCTGCATACACGTGCCTGATTCCCAACATGACCAACAAGTCAACTTGTGGTTGTGGTATTTCATTTATTATTGTAATAATAATCATTTTTCGCATCAATGATAAAACCCACATTGGCATTCTATATCTTTGTCCTTGCAAAAACATAGATATAGTCCTTACAGTTATTATAATTACTTATAATTCATCTAGTAGAATCATGAGATGTTTAGTTAAGTAATATAACTCGTTAAACCATGTTCCTAGTCAACAGGTTACGCCACCAATGAGGATATCGTCCTTTCCCATTCAAGACTAGTACTTAATGTATGTGTACTGTGTCTCATCAGTAATCGGTATTGTGATATCGGCATACATAACTGGGTGCTCATAAGTTGATGAGTTCACTAAACTCCCTCATCCTAGAAATCTCTATGTGCTTCTCAATAATCGAGAAAAGATCTCTATGACATAGTCCTTAAGACCCAGACATCACCGTAACTTCACTAGAGGACCAGCTGTATAGTTACCTGTCCCTGAGTCCCCCTGAGGTCCGCTCCAAGGGCCAGTGTTCGTGCAGTCCGAAATCTAGTTGGAGGTCTGTGCATTGTAGTAGGGGATTCGATCGCTAGAATAGTCTTGGATGTCATGTTTGTTCTTATTGTTTGTAATCATTAAGTCTCTGGCCAGAGCTGACTAAGTGATGATTAGGGAATGTGTTTCCCTAAGTCATACACAAACCGATTGCAATACTTAGAACGATCGCACACTTATTGAACTATATAAGAGGTCTAGATGAACCAATTCCTCTTGTTCAATCGGGGCATATGTATCGACGGGATCGTAATGTACGTTAACTATATCACACGGTTCTTGTAGGCACTTCATTTGTATCTGGGGAATCATGAAGCATAGTTGCTAGACGTCAATCTTGATTCATTAGGTGGTTAAGTTGAAACAAGCTTCATCTTAATTATAACTTGTATGGACGAGTTAAAACCACAATTGGTTGTGGGCCTATGGCTAGCTTACACTTGAACCATCGAGGGTCACACTTCTCGTGTACATGAATTCATTGAATAAACGGTCAAAGATTAAAACGTTGATCTTTGCATAATTGTAAGCCAGCATTCATAATTGTGAATTGTGAATTAGAATGGAAAGAGAAAAGAACGAGGTGATAATTTAAGTGAACCTTCTAAATTGTGAAGTTTCCCGATTTAGTATTAATGATCAACTTAAGCTTGTTAAGGTTTATGCGCAAGACATTATAAATACAAGATTTATAGGTCTTGTACATATAATAAAAACCCTAGTTGCTCCCTCTCTCTCCCTATCTCACAGCCGCTGTCTCTCCGCCAAGTCCCGTCGCTGCCGCCGTTCACCGCCTCCACGCGTCGCCGCCGTAGATCGATAGTCCTTTTCTTTGTCATTTCTTCCTATTATTCTAACTTTTGCGTCTCTAGTGCCACGTGAATGGAGAACTCAGTATACGAAGTGAAATCCAAGAGGAGGAAGACAAGGGAGTCGGATCGCCACTGCACCATCGTTGAACCGCCGCCACACGCGACGCTCAGAGAAAAGCGCGTGAACTCCACGCGCCGTCGTTGTTCGCGCTTCCGACACCACCGCTTCGCCGGTGCTCCGCAAGGCTGTACGGATTGGTTTCTAGGACAGTCCACTCTCGTCGAATCATCCACCTCACGCTTCAAGAGGTAAAATTCGAATCCATTAGTGATTAATTAATTGAATTGTTAATTAAGGTTAATAGTAAATTACGATTCTCACATGGATTCTTTAATGAATGATTATGTGAGTTATTTGATATATGATTTATGATTGAATGCGAGCATGTTACATGTTTAATCAAAGCAAATTAATTATATGCATGTATGTTTTAATTTGTGTTGGAAGAGAAATGGTACACATTAATTGCTATATAGTGCACGTGTTTATATACAAAACCCTTTTTCATATAAAATTTTTATTTTTCTGCTACATGTGCCTGATTCCCAACAGTAGTACCAGAGCTCGTTGCGCAATTAATTGCGTTTGTGTATTGCTTATTCTCATGCATGCTTAAGTTTATTAAAATTATGATCGTTGTATTACTTAATTGGGTGTTTTTGAAAGTTTAAAATATTTATGAAATATTGTTTAGAATTTTTTCAACTTTAATATTGTTTAAAAATCAGAAAACGGATCTGAAATAATTAATTTACTGGTTTTTTTATTACCGGATCGAACCGGTTAGACCGTTCGGTCCAACGGTTTATTCCAATCCAGCCAACGGAACCAACTTGGCAATGGCTCAGTCAGACCGGTTTTCGGTCTGACTGATCAGGTCCGTTGGCTCGGCCAGCTGGACCGGACTAAACTGGACCGATTCGCTCTGAACCGGTCGGACCGGACCGGATTAAAATAATTATTTTTTTTTCACATTTCTTACATTAAACTTAAACAAGTTGATTTTAATTTATTAAAAATTATTTTCAAATTAAAATCAATTATATAATTGATTCCACAATCTACTATTATAATAAATAGGTGTTAAATTAATTAACTAATTTAAAACTTTTTAAAATTAATTTTTTTAATAGAACAAATGTGTAATATTGATTATACTTCAACTTAATTATTTGTACCTCAACAATTTTGATTGATTTATGCTAGTTGAGGCCCTATAATTATTTTGAAAAATAATAATTAATTATTATAATTAATTATGAGATTAGGTCGAATGTTTCGTTTAGGACAATATGCGTTTACATATACCTCTAGAGAACATAGATGGAATAATCACACCGACCATTCCAAACCTTCTGATGAGATAACCTTTTCTTAAATTGCTCATTCTTAATTTAATTAAGAATTATTTCAAGTTATAACGAA